TTTAGTTTAGAGTGTACGGGCAGGCCTTGCAGGCCATGAGCCCAGGCCTTGTCCATGAGGCCCAGATATCCGGGCGTACCTGTACATGCTCTTTACTGGCTCCGAGTGATCACCCTCCCAGGAATAAATGTCTCTTAAAAGTCAAAGTCTTTCTTTCTCTCTTTCTTTCTTTCCTACTTTCTAACACTGTCCAGATCCTCCCTGTTGGCCTGGGTTGCTCTGTCCCACTCTGTGTTATTGTTGTTCTGTTTTCGAGAAGGATCAGGGTGAGCTCCCCCTTCCCCCCACCCACATATGGGATCTACAAACGTGCCTGAGCATTTTCCGCAGAGCTCAGCAGAAATTCGCCCAGAAGGTCAGTGACCAAAGAAAGGGACGATCCATCATAAAATAAACTGTTTTCATTTCCCAGGATAAAGGGGAGGGGGGCTGAGATCAAGAAAAAAGAACAAAACCCAGGGGGGAAAAAAAAGCCCAGCTCCTTCCCTGCAAAGACAGCCTCCTGCATGTGTAAGGGTTTTACAGCCAAAACTCTTAATGTGATTATAATAATTATTTCTTTACTAGAAATTTTTATAAACAGCCTCTTTTGAAATCATGCTCGGGGAGCCAAAACTCCAGTGAAGTCCTGGACTGAAGGACTGAGCAGGGAGTGGGGAATGGGGGTAGCGGAGGAGTGTGTTAGTGTGTGCATGCGTGTGTGCGTGTGCGTATGTATGCATAGATGTATTGGAATGGCATGGCTGCTGTACCAGCCTGAGAGACTTTCTTAAGTTAAAAGTCTGTGAAAATGTTATGATTCCCATGGCGATAAGTAAGCCATAGCTGGCGCCTGTGAGGCTTTCTCTGTGTTCCTCTGCCCTCAGTTTGTTATATTAGTCCTGGAACTATCCTTCCACTCCCTATCGCTCCCTGTCCCAGTCCCAGCCCCAGCCCCAGGCCCTCTCCCTCATCATCATTCTTGTGCCCCCTCATCTTTGCCCCCAGCCCTCAACATGGCATGCCTCTTTCTCTACTGTGATCCCTCATACCTTATGGCAAAGTTGGCACAGGACCTCCTTTGCCCCACTCCCTGAACCCCCTCCCTCTCTTGCTCCTCTGTGTGGTCCCTCCTGGGGTCAGACTTTGAAATCTGTTGAAAGGAGACCATTTTTGCCAAAATAAACAGCCTGTCATGTTAAATTACTTTCTCTTCCTCTTTTATGTCCTTTAATTCTCCCTTTCCCCCCTCTCTCCCTCCTGTCCTTTCATGTTGGGGGCCATTCTCTCACTCTGATGCTGACTCTTGACTTACCAAAGCTGTTTGAGAAGGAGCTGGACTCTGAGGGAAGCTGGCAATGAGCTCGGCCTAGCACCTAGGCATCATTTCCCTCATGGTGTGAGCTATCCTGCCTCATCAGAAGCAGAGGGTACAGAAGAAACAGCAGTAAGGACAGGCACTGGGGCACTGCCATGGGAGGGAGTGTACAGCTATTTTGAACTAGTGTCTCTTTTGAGCTTGGTGCTAGTGCTACCTTTGGGGTTGCAGTGGTGGCCATCAGCAGGGCACACAGAGCTGAGACCATCTCACCTGTCAGACCATCCCATTGTGAAAATTGAGCACTGAGGCACAACACACACACACAGCCCAAATTTGCAGCAGATACCTCTCTGGCCACAGCGTCCTTTTCCTTTGCCAGCTCCTTGATGCGCTTGTTCAAGCTCTTGGTCTCCTTCTGGTGGGCAGCCACTGCATCTTCAAACTGGGCCTGGAAGGTCTGCAGCTCATTCGTGATGCTGGCTACTGTGTTCTACAAGGAACACGAGATGTGGGGTTACCACTGCTTGTTTTGCATCTCCACTGAATGTCAGGTTATACTGCTCTGCCACATTCATCCTGCTCTAAGCAACTCACCCTGATGTGTGATTTACAGCCCTGTGACTGTATCTCTGAACCCAGAATACACAGACAGAGTGAAGGGTAAGAGAAGGAGTTAAACCAGAGTGCGACTGACCCATGCTTATAACAGGAATACAAACCAGGCTGCCTGAGATACCTACTACTTTGCTTTGCAGCCAGCTTGACATGCAGCAGATTAGTGTGACAGCCATGGTATGGGCCAAGCCTCGGGACTGAACCAGGGCTCTATGAGGTGAAACACATGGGCAGCTACACTGGAGCTAAAGCACCTTGGCAGGGTCTGTACCAGACTTGTCCCCTTTGTGGAGTGGACATAGAGTGAGGCCCATCACACCCAGAGCATTGGGTAACACCAGCTGCAGGCTTGTGCATGACTAACTTTTCACTAACACCGCAGCAAGTCTTGGGCAAGCCTTGTGCAGAGGAGACTCACTTTTATCAGAGTCCGTTGTGTAGGGTAGTTGGGCCACTAAGCAGAGCTGAGTCAGTCTCCTGGGCAGGCACTTGGCCCCCTGCCTCCCTGCTGCTGTCACCCATCACGCCATGTCATGGGAAGCTCTGTCCCCTTTCTGCAGGCCCACAGAAGAGTGGGGCAATAACAGACATTCACATTGTCTGCTGAGGGTGGCATGTTTCCAGAGCAGCACCAACACACATGGAGAGGGCCAATGTCACACTTCACCATGAAGTGCCCCAACATGGTTACTGGGTCACATTTGAGGTGGCACTGCCTGACCTGAAGCACTTCACTGGCTACATACATCTGGATCTTCACTTTTCAGAACACCTGAATGGCACTCAGAGTGCTACAAATGCTACATCTGTCCATATCTGTGGAGGGCACTTCCAGCCAGCAGTAGGCCTTCCCCCTTGACTGTATCCTGTCCTCTGAATCTAACCAGCTGTACTGCCCTGGCCTGCCTTCCTTGCATGACCCTGCTACTCCCACTTTGCTCTCTGCCTGCCAGCCTCCACCCCCAATTCCTCCTCAGGTGGGCAGCACATTCACAGTATGTCCTGGTTCTCCCCTCCCTCCCATGCAGTAAGTCTGGAGGACTTCCTTGCGCTTCAGTGGAATAAGAGCAGTGGGAGTCCACTTGGAGGGCTACTGACCTCCATAGGCTGGTAACTGATCCATGGCGAGGTGCAAAACAGGAGAGTCAGGCGCACACTGAGTCTTGGCCCTGTGCTGAGCCTTGAGCTGGGCCAGAGAGGGGAGACCATGTACATCCTTGATCCCAGAGTAGTTGGGGGCTGGTTAAGCCTCCTAACACAGTCCATGGCAGCTCCAAGGGCTCACCTCTCTTGGGCCCTGTCCAAAATGGCCTGGTCAGCTGTTCCAGCAGCTGGGAATAGCTGGAGTGTTGCTATGCCCAGGTATGTTCCCTGCCAGCCCCACATACCCCCATGAACTGGGGGGTCCTGTCAGAGGGTGTCCAAAGCATCTATGCCAGTTCTGCCTGCAGGAGTGCCCTTCTGCTGATACTGGGGTGGGTGGGGGTGTGCCTGTCAATTCCTTCTGTGGTTTGGCCAATGCAGCTGAGCATGACAGGCTGGGCAAGGGGCACAAGGCATGCCTGCACTTCCCAGACACCCCCACACCCTGCTGCTGCCCCCACCCTCTGACTCCTTCTCCAACATGCCTGCTGCAGCCCAGCAAAACTGGAATGGGAAAGGCATCAGAGCCACACCCCTTCCAGGAGCCTGGGCAAAAGTTGTGCCTTTTCCAGAAGGCAGAGCTGCCTGTGAGCCTTGTGCCAGCAGGGTTTAATGGGTGCTGCCAACTGCTTCCCAGGCATTCTCTCTTTCTCTCTCCCTTTCCATGGTGTTTTGTGCCAGTTTGGACACTTGCAGGTATGTGGTGTGCCCCTGGTTTTCTGTCTCCTATGTTTTTAATGCAGCTAAAATTTGTAGAATCATAAAATGCAGAGATGGAAAACGACCTATTAGATCATCCAGCCCAGCCCCCTGCCAATGCAGTATCGCTCCCTACAGAACATTCCCGAGTGATTTGTCTAGACCAGGGATGAATAACTCCAGCGATGGGGATTCCAGCGCTTCCCTGAAAACATTATTCCATGGTCTAATTGACCTTATTGTTAGGAAATTTTTCCTGATGTCTTGCCTAAGCTTTTCTTTGCAATACTGTAGTCCAGTACTTTGTTATTCCTCCTTGAACAATCTTCCTTAGCACTCCTGTCCCTTAATCCTTGGGCAGGCAGCCCTCCCACTCCTTCTTCTCTGCCTTGCACTGTGATAGAGGAGGATTTTATTCTCCCAGTGCTTCCCAGAGCACAGTTTGTTATATTAGTCCTGGAACTATCCTTCCATTCCCTATCTCTCCCTGTCCCAGTCCCAGCCCCAGCCCCAGCCCCAGGCCCTCTCCCTCATCATCATTCTTGTGCCCCCTCATCTTTGCCCCCAGCCCTCAACATGGCATGCCTCTTTCTCTACTGTGATCCCTCATACCTTATGGCAAAGTTGGCACAGGACCTCCTTTGCCCCACTCCCTGAACCCCATCCCTCCTAGGCACTGACTGCACGTGTTGCTGTTCTCTGGATTGACTCCACTGTCAACCCCTTTCTTGTGATGAGACACCTGAGACTGCTGCACACTCAATTCCACACACACTCATGGCTCTCCTGGATAAAGAGCATTGTTCTCTCAGTGGGTTGGGGCACCATGGGCCAGACCTTCACCTGGTGTAAAGCAGTGGAGTATGACTCCCTTCTGTGGAATTACGATGATTTACACCAGCTGCAGATAAGGCCTTTAAGGACACATCTGAAGGGCCTTATCCTGTTTTCTGTGAAGTGACTGGTCACACTTTTATCAGCTTCAGCTGAAGGAGAATCAGACTAATTTCCAGCATTATCCTCTCCTGCTGCTAGAATTCATTCTAAGGACAGGGCAGACAGTGACATAACTTAGAATAATTCACATTGGTTTTGTACGAAGAGTGAAAAGTTGAATAACTATCCGAGGGTAATGGCACACAGTAGACAGGTATTACAGTACCGTGCCACCAGTAGAGGTGCTCTAACGAGAGGCTCTCACTTAGTGTATTTCTGCCTGCCATGTTGTTTGACCCACAGCTGTTTCATTTAACACCAAGACTCTTAGAGCCAAGTGAGAATGGGTGAAAGAACGGCTAGTTTCTCTGGTCACTGTCTGTCTCATGCTAAAGAAGCTGTTGCTCACAAGTGGACCCCTGAACCAACATGGAGCCATCTGGACTTTACAGTATTGGTGTTACCCATGCAGAGCTGCATTATAGTCCACAGAGCTCTGCGCCCTCTTGGACCCTGTAGGAGCAGGGCCTGAGTCAGCAGTTTTCCCCTGGGGTTCATGTGGGTCCCTCTCACACAGCATCATGGCTGAGAACAGCACATGAATGGACAGGAAAACTCAGGCTGGTTATGGAGAGCTTGATGGTCAGAGCCCATACCCGAAGCTGCATTTAAGGCTGGTTTGAAAATGACTGGCTGTCATGATGTCTCTGAAATCTGGTTTTCTCTTCCTGCATGTTAAAGTCAGGAGAAATGAGAGCTTATGAGCTCTCCAACAAGCACGTGCCTGACTCTGATCCCCACTTCGTTGGTAGCAACCAGTAATGACTCCAGCAAAGCCACTGGAGTTCAAGGGTGTGAGTGAGACTAGGTTGGGGCCTGATATCCACCAGCCTGTAGCATTTCACTGAGTAACAAAGACAGGTCAGGCGGGAGAGAAGGTCTGGATGCTAAGGAGGACTTGGGAACACAGGGACAGGTCTCTCCTGGGTGTAAATTGGCCCAGCTCTATGAAAGTTTATATCCTTTGGGGATTTGGCTCATTGACTTCACCAGACCTGTGCTGGTCAACACCAGCTGGGAATCTGGCCAGCTGTTGCACTGAGGGAATATGAAGTGCTCCCCCTGGGCCTATGAATGTGCTCACTGCTCTGCTGTTCTGGCCCAGGCTGCCTGGCCCACAACTCCTTGATTACTCCCAAAGATGGGTGGAAACAAAGAAAACACATACATCAAGTTCCCAGCAAATCACACAGCAGGCATGTGGCACCAGGGGCTAAACGTGAGCCCCACTCCTTGACTGTGCTTCTTGTCTGTCAGCTGCCATCTGAGCAGAGGAGAGCTCCTTTGGGGTAGGAGGGGAAGAAGGGAGAAGCTACAGGAAATGAGAGGCTCTTGGGCAAGGCCTTTTCTTCTGGTGCCAGAAGATCCTGTTTTGGGTTGCAGGCTACATCCGATTTCTCCAGGGACCAGAGAGCTCAGAGCTGTGCCTGCAGCCCAATGAAGAAATATGAGGCCGCTTCCAGGACTCCATTGCAAAACACTTGCTCCCCAGAGAGGGATCTGTGGTTGCACTCACGCTCCTGTCCTGCCCATTCCCTGTTTGGTAGAGCCCCCCTCATGCAAAAATGATCACATGGAGCTGCCTAAAAACAGCAGAAAATCTTACACAAGACAGCCTGATGGGTCTTTAACCCCTTGGTTGTCTGGCATTAATAAGAGCCCAGCGAACAGGAATCACAGCGCACCTCAAAAGCAGCATGTCAGGAACACAGAGTTGTACCAATTGTTAGAGATGTTTCTTGTTTCCTTAAAAAGCAAGAAGCATAATTTGTGACAAACAATACTGGAGGGCTTCATAATGTCCACAGTGGACATCCAACAGCATCTAACAGAGCCATACACATGTGTGTATATATCTTTTTGAGATACCCCATGTTCGTGTATTATTGGCAGGCAAATGTGAACACAAGGAAGCAAATCCATATACCCAGGGCTAAATCCAGGGTCAATCCACTGAATTCACTATGCAGGGACTCGAGGACAGAGTCCTGAGGGACTCGGAAGAAAAGTCACCAAAGCAGACCCTGCAGAAGTGGC